TATATATATATATATATATATATATATATATATATAAAAAGGTAACTGCTCTTTGTTTCCACTGGAGGACTTACAAGAGCTGTGGAGGAGTGTGTGTGTGTGTGTGTCTGTGTGTGTCTGTGTGTCTGTCTGCGTGTGTGTATTCCTGTACGTACATCTTAGTGAGGACCAATCTGACATTTCTCACTCCTTCACAAATGTGTGTTTGAGGCTTTGGATGTGGTTTGAGGCGTGAGGTTACTGTCGATCATCAGGTCTTCAGGTTAGACATTTAGTTTTGATGGTTAAGGTGGAATTACACCAATATTAAGTGTTAAAGTCAGCTGACTAGACATACGCAGGTCGACTCAGACTGGTCGTAGAGTTGAATGGGAACGCCCGTCCTGTTCGTGCTCTTCTTCTATGGTGTGTGTGTGTGTGTGTGTGTGTGTGTGTGTGTGTGTGTGTGTGTGTGTGTACTGTAAAGGTCGGAGAGGAGCTACGGGTTCAAAAATCAGCTACTGATGAATGAAAATGGAAAGAATATAACAGCGTGGAGTCGTTCTCACGGACAGGATGAATATATAAGGTCTCTATGTAGGAAACGTATCATTAAGCCGTCCTACAGTGTGATTAATCACAGTGCTGTGCTCGCTTACTGACTCCATGTGACCTCGGTGACCTCGGTGACCTCGGACCAACACTAACAGAGTGTTTTATGTGATATACGTTACAGTGAGTTCACAGATTGTTGTTGTGATGCCGTTTTGCAGGCTTTTTGGAGATTTGTCATAGTTTGTCTGTGAGGGAAAATACAAAGATGTGATAACTGCAATGTAAACAACAAGGAAAAAGTTTTATTAATGGTGCGTTTGATCTTCAGCACAGTTTACACCGAGGGCAACATGCCTTTCTTTACCTCACTGAGCCTCCTCACTACCTCAGATTTCTCTTAAATCAGCTTATAGGAAACAAAACACAATGTCATTGGGTCTTATATTAACTTCACTAAACAGAACAAAGGGAACTTCTAAACATTAGCTTTGTCACTGATAGGACGGCTTTTAAACACACTAGCATGGAATAATCACATATTTAGTGTGTTTCATTATTTTGTAACGTGAGGGTTCGATGTTGAGAAGAACAGCCAGATGGAGACGGATAACTTCCTGAAGCAGCACTTTACGGTTCCCAACACCTGGTTTAGCATCACCACAACAACAACAACAACAACAGCAGCAACACTTCCTTGTTCCTAACTCACGCTGCACTGAACCAACCAATCAGAAGCCAGGAGGACTTAGACTAAAGTATATGTGAAGAAAACCACAGAGAGAGATTCCTGCAGACAGTTTTAAAGTCACAGATGAAAGTATTCTAACATGTAAATATGTTAATAATGAACCGTGTAAACATGTATAAACAACTCAAATATGTGAATTCACCTCACTGCTGAACTTTACAATGTTATATAGTTATATCTATTTCTATATGTTCTGTAAACCTTTTATAGATCTTCTAATACTTATTACAGTTCACGCTGATGTTTTTACATGTGTGTCTATGGCTGAGGGTCTCGCAGGCTCCTCAGGCTGGAGGGAGTTCCAGGTTGTTATTGCACTTATTGAATAGACTTCAACATTCTCCACAGTAGACGTGGTTCTCGGCTCGTCTCCAGACAATAATCGGCCTGCATGTTTTACAAACATCTATATAGGCTCTTGCAATTCTTTGTTCTTCAGTGTACCTGTACTCTGCAATGCTGTCTCCACACCTGTCAACAAATGCACCTAAATCAAGAATTGACTTGGTGCACTTCAATAATCGTTAATTGACTAATTGGTTCAGCACTAAAAGAAACGTATTTGTCAGATTTCAGGAAAGAAAAGTGCAACCTTGATGTTAGATAATCAAAATCTCAGATATTGCATTTTGAATACCGATGCGTTTTGCCTCCTTTGCTCTCCACATTGACGCGCAACCAAATCACGCTCCAATGTGATTGTTCAATAATACCAGAACACATTCAGCATTCATATGCAGATATCTGTGTATAGAGGTAATCGTACAGTAAATAATAATAAACAATAAATGATGCATAATAAATAATGAAGTAAAAGATGTTTTTCTACAAAAAAATAACTTTTTTCATTGAATTCAAAATTTAAAACTTTCCACTTTCACTCAAATGTTGCCGTACAAGAACTTTGTCTCAATTAAATAGTTTCAATCAAGAACTCTCTGATCAAAAAGTGAATGAACAAAGAAACAAATGTGAGCAGACATTCAAAGCCAGCCTCTGGTACTTAACAGTTTGGTTCCTATATGACCTTCCAAATCAAAAATGTAGAAAGATGAATGGTTTGCATTACTGCACCGACGTGCAGAGCCTTGATAAAAACCGAGTATACAATACAATCTCAAAACCACGCAAGTGTCACTTGACATCGAAATTCTGTTTCTTTTGACATCAAACATCTTTTCAAGTGAGGATTTTTAGGTCCTCCAGACGTTGGCCCACGGAGAACACACTCAGTTTAACAATGCACCAAGGTAAAAACAACCTTTGTCCATTTCTATAAAGTTAAAAACACAAACTTGTGAAGTAGGTTTTTGTATGTAAGAAAATACTGTCAGTCCACAAGAACAAGCTTCGTTCCACCTTTAACAGCGGATACAGATACTGGAGATGAAGTGTGTGAGGAACGTCTTCTGAATATATCTCAGTCGTAATGATTCAGCTGCTGCCTTGAAAGCAGCTTTGCTTCCTTTATCTTCTCCCCGCTGGCTCTCTGCCTCTCTGTGGCTGTAAACAACCTTCAACACACAATACAGAGCTTCATTTATAGAGCTGCGTTACCCTCTGACTCTCACACATGAAGGTGTTACACTTTAAAGGATCGGGAGCAGGAGATAGTCCATGAGCTGAAATTAGAGTCCCCATTATGGGCATTACAACTCTGTCTCTGGGATCTTGTCTCT